GAACTTTTTCATCACTTTCATAGATATTTCCATGCTCCTAGAAACAATAAATAACTTTCTATCTTAGGAATTTGTCTATTTAAAAATGTTTAATTTCTTTTAAGATTTGTTTAATTTTATCTTACATGTATGAGTGTTTTGCCTACATGTATATGTGTGTACCACATGCATACAGTGTCTCTGGAGGCCAGAAGAGGGCATCAGATTCCATGAAACTGGAACTAAAGACAATATCATGTGGGCACCAGGAACTCTACCTGAGTCCCCTGCAAGAACAAGAACTGTTAATCACTAAGCTATACCTCCTGTCCCTATTCTTTTCAAAATTGCATTTTATTTATTTATTCTTTGTGCAAGTGTGTAAGTGTGCAGGCATGCACATGCCATGGCATATGTGTGGAGGTCAGAAGAAAACCAGAGTAAGTCAGTTCTCTCCTTCTTCTATGTGGATCCTGGGGCTCAAATTCAAGGCCATCATAAATTTCATAAGCACAAGTCCCTGTTATCTAAAGATTCACTCTTTAAAATTATGTGTTTACATCTATGTGTATGGGTGTTTTGCTTACATGTTTGTATGTGCACCATATACATACTTGGTGCCTTTGGAGGCCAGAAGAAGGTGTTGGATCTCCTGGGATTGCTGTTACAGATGGTTGTAGGCTGCTATGTGGGTGCTTCCTTGAAAGATTTATTAGTGTGTTGTGGTGTGTGTGTGTGTGTGTGTTTGTGTGTGTGTGTGTGTGTGTGTGTGCTTATGTATGTGTGGGCAGGTATCCATGGAAGCCAGAGGCATCAGATTCCCTTGGAACTAGAGTTACAGGCAGTTGTTAGCTATCCATCATGCATGGTGCTGGGAACTGAACTCAGGTTCTCTGTATGAGCAATATGCTCTCTTAATCACCAAGCCAATTCTCTAGCAAAAAATAATTACTTTAAACAAAATTTTCCCTACTCTTAAGGCAGTGGCTCTCCAGCAAGTGAAATACAGACCCAATGGGAAAACTCATAAAGCATATAAAAATAAAATCTAATCACAGATGTTTAATGTCTCATGTAATGAAAGAATAAAAAACTTAAAGCCAGTTATTTTTATTTATTTTTAATCTGTGTACATGTGAGGGGGCCATGAGCACATGAATGTAGGTACCCACAGAGACCAGAGGCATCAGATCCCTCTGGAGCTGAACTTGCAGGCATTTGTGAGCCACCCAGTGTGGCTTCTGTGGGTTCTGGAAATTGAACTTTGGTCTTCTACAAGAGGATTATGTATTCTTAACCACTGAGCCATCTCTCTAGCCCCTTGAGCCAGTTTTTGTTGTTATTGTTTGTTTTGGTAAATCTAATTAAGAATAGATTAATAGTTAAGAAAACTCTTATTGTTGTAAACAGAGAATCCAGAATTAATTTTATCTCAGGGTATTAAACTTTATCCTGAAAAAATTTTAATAACCTTTATCTAACTATCAACCTAGTTGTAGCTATGTCCACGTTCGTTAATTTTAATTCTCACAGCTATTCTATAGGATCCTTTAACTTTCTAACCTTGTTCTTGTCTATTTTCATTTTGGAACAATCTTTACCTTATTATATAATCCTTTCATATCCAAAAGCAGTTCTTCTCTTTTGTTTTCTTTTACTGAAAATACATTTCATATCTATAACCTTTATGTATTTTCCTTCACTTGATGATTCTTTAATGTCTCATTACAACTACTGTTAGAATTATAAACTTAGAAATCTCTTTTTAATAAGATAGTTATATTTCCAATTAAAACAAGAAGCTTTATCTAAGACATATCTTGCATGTGGGGATGTGCTTACTTCCTTGCTTGGAGACTGGATCGCACTATGTATCCCTGGCTGACTTGGAACTGTCTGTGTAAACTAGATGGTCTTGAACTCAGTGACCTGTTTCTGCTTCCTGAATGTTGGGATTAAAGATGTGGACCACCAAGCCCTGTGTGTGTGTGTGTGTATACCACATGTATGTGAGTTCCTATGAAGGACAGAAGTGTCAGACCTCCTAGAGCTGGAGTTACAGGCAGTTACAAGCCACCTGAAATGAGTGCTAGGAATCAAATTTGAGTCCTCTGGAAGAGTGCTATTAATTGCTGAGCCATCTCTCTAGACCAAGATTTACTGTTTTTTTTTTTTTTAAAGAACTAGTTATTTAGCCGGGCGGTGGTGGCGCACGCCTTTAATCCCAGCACTCGGGAGGCAGAGGCAGGCGGATTTCTGAGTTCGAGGCCAGCCTGGTCTACAGAGTGAGTTCCAGGACAGCCCGGGCTATACAGAGAAACCCTGTCTCGAAAAACCAAAAAAAAAAAAAAAAAAAAAAAAAAAAATAAAAAAAAAAAGAACTAGTTATTTATTTTATGTATATGAGTACACTGTAGTTGTCTTCAGACATACCAGATCCCATTACAGATGGTTGTGAGCCACCATGTGGTTGCTGAGAACTGGACTCAAGACCTCTGGAAGACCAGTGTGGTTGCTGGGCCATCTCTTCAGCCCCAGGATTTATTTTTTTAAAAAGGATTTATTTATTTATTTTATTTATTTATTTATTTTTATGTGCATGTGTGTATACCTACATGAGTTTATGTGCACCATTTGTGTGTATGTAGGTACCCTTGGAGGGCAGAGAGCAGCAAATCCCCTGGAACTGGAGTTACAAGCAGTTGTGAGCTGCTTGATGTGGCTGATTGGAAATTGAACCCAGGTCTGCTGGAGAGCAGTAAATGCTTTGAACTGCAAAGCCATCCTTCCAGTCGCCAGGATTCACTTTATAATTTTTTTTGTTTTGGGTTTGTTTGTTTGGTTGGTTGGTTGTTTGGTTGGTTGGTTGGTTGTTGAGACAAGGTTTCCTCTGTGTAGCCTTGGCTATCCTGGAACACACTCGGCTGACCAAGCTGACCTTGAACTCAGATATCCACCTACTTCTACCTCCTGAATGCTGGGATTAAAGGCTTGTGTCACCTCTACCAGCTAGAAGTATAAATTAAGGACATTTTAATGAAAAGGTAACATAGTATCTCTTAACAAAGTAAGTTCCAGGGTGGCTAGGGCTACACAGAGAAACCCTGTCTCAAAGAACTAAAAAAAAAAAAAAAAAAAAAGAGAGAGTACTTTTAATTTATATTTCTGAACAATAGAGTAAGAACTACACATCCATATGATTCAGTAGCTCCTAAACTGATTCCTTTTTGTTTGTTTTCTTTTCTTTCTTCTTTCTTTCTCTTTATTTCTACAGGATCTCTCTGTCACCTGGCTGTTTTGGAATTTCCTGTATAGACCAAGCTAGCCTCACACAGAGATCTGCCTGCCTAACCCTAACCCTTCTCAAGTGCTAGGATTAAGAGCTTGTACCACCATGCCTGGTTCCAAACTAAGATTCTGTGTGGCTTGGTCAGCCATGACCCAGACTGTAAAACTTCTGCTCTAGGATAGGAAGGGAGCTCACTAAGAAGGGAAAAGTGTACATAGAGGGTAGTTGTTTCTGAGGACTTGGGAGCAGGACCTTGTTGCACATTAGGTCCATAGTGCTTTTCAGGTCCCCTGGCTCCTGTTCCCAAGGGTCTTTCCTCCATAACCTCAGTTTTTCCACAACCTCAGCTCATGGCTTCATTCCTTCTCTTGGGTTTGGTCACCTACAACTCTACTTTTTGTACCACAGCCCTGGCTTCCAGTGTTACCTCTGGGGACATGCCACACATAACCCTGGCCCTACAACTTTACCCAGTCTCCCAGGAATCTGCTTCCACTCCTCCTCCACCTCACCCTGAATCTATGCTGTCCTCCATGACTTCATCCCATCTCCTGTAGTCCCCTCCCCTGAAACTCCACCCTCTGTTCCATGACCCCAGCCCCCACCACCTTGTCCAGTCTCCCACACCCCTGTCTGCCCTCCAGAAAACAGGAAGTGTTGGGAGTTGCAGCTCTGGGAGTAAGTGCAGGAAGCTGGGCTTATCTTGCTCTGCAGTCCTGACCCCTGGCCTTGTGCCGGGTAGGGGGCGCCAGGGGCAGTCCAAGGATAGAGCTTGCTCACCTGGTGAGCCCTGGGTGCCTCTCTCTTGAGCCACAAACTGTCACAACTGGACTGGTATGCAACAAAGCCTAGCCAGTGTACCATTAAGTTTCCCAGGGTATATCAGACTGACATGTCCTCCACAGACAGCAGCATAAATCCCATCTACACAGTAAGGAGGTGACCCAGGTTCTAGGGCCTCAGGATGTCCACTTCCCCCACAACAGGCACTGCACAGCTGCCAAGGGCCTGACCTTCCCATTTCCACCCAAACAAGAACTCACTTCCCATAGCAGGTGTTACCTCTTGCTTATTCCAGAGTCTAATGAAGCAGGGTGTGTGTGTGTGTGTGTGTGTGTGTGTGTGTGTGTGTGTGTATGTGTACATGTGCATATGCCTGTGTCTGTGTCTCTGAGTGTGTCTGTGTGTTTTTCTGAGTTTAAAAAACTAAGTCTTCCTGTGGAAGGGGCAGGGACATCTCTTGCACCTCACTCCCTCCCCCAGGTCTCGAAGGCCACTGGCAGGGACAATGGGCCTCAACACCTGCCTCACTCTCCCCCCCACCCCCAGTAATATGTGCTTCCTGGAGTAGAGAGCCTTGTTTATTTCCAGTTAGCTGCAGCTGAAGCAGGCAGCCTTCTTGAACATCTGCATGTCTTAGGACCCCACACACAAGTGTCCAGAAGCCCGCAAGGCCAGGCCTTCTCCAGGTCTGGGAACAGATGTTTCCTCCTCCTTCACAGCCCTGTCCATAGGGCTGCCCAAGCCTTCTAGAAGCCCATCTTCCCCCCACCCCCACCCCCCACATAACTCCTTGAGTAGAAAGGGCAGTCATTTAATTCCAAGCAGTTGCAAAGCTGAACCTCCCTTTATATCCACCACAGCAGGATCTAACAGTGTCAGTGAACCAGCCCCGGGCCTACTCATTGTCTCCCATCAAAGAATTGTGTGTGACACAACACTGTTAACTAGGAAAAATATGGAACACTTTATAAATTTGTGTGTCTCCCTTGCACAGTGACCATGCTAATCTTCTCTGTCCTCATTCCAGTTTTGGTATATGTACTGCCAAAGTGAACCCAGCTTTAGGAATATAGCTGAGTTTAGAGCTCTATCTGCTTAGCTGTGGCTCTGTGCTCAAAGGACCCGCAGACACAGAAGACATGTCTATCCTTACTACACCTTCACTCAGCTCTGCCACACTTCTAGGCTGTTGTAGTCAGTAAAAGTCCTCGCTCCCTGCTGCATCATGGGAGGTGGGGCAGGGTTAACACACAAGTGGCAAACTCAAGATTAACTTAGGGATTTGCAAACCCAAGAACTAGCTTGTCATTCATAGCTCTTGCCCAAGTTCCAGATGTTCTTTCAAAGGCTCCTAGTCGTGGGAGGCCGTGGTATCCAGTCTCCCTTCAAAGCCTGCCAGGCCCCTTCTTCCAGGATTACATATGGAGGCCTGGCTCCTGGGCTGCAGGAAATTGCACAGGCCTAGCCAGTGCCTTGGGGGTCCCATCTGTAATCCTCACACAGCCCTTCCTTCTGGGTCATAGCCCCACCTCCCTGGAAAGCCAAGCATTGAAAAGGCTTGTGTGGGATAGGATAATAGCAGCAGTCTCCAGCCCCATGTCTGAGCCTCAGCATCTCCAAGGTCTGTTCTAGCTGGTCAGCAGCTAGCAAACAACTGTGGGACAGCTTCTGTGCTGGGCTAAGCTATGTGTGCACAAGCATATGCCCTGTCCTCAACTACAAAGCGCCCAGGAAGCCTCCATTTAGGTCCCTGGGCTGAGCCTAGAAGACCCAGAATCTAGGGTCTCAGTAGCACTCAACTTGCCCTTCAGCTCCAAGCCTTTCTGAGAGTTCTGTGTCTATCCTTGTCCTGCAAGAGGACAGTCATTCTAGTGGGTTGGTGACCACAGGCTGATGCTTTCATGACTCCTGCAGAGAGAGAGAGAGAGAGAGAGAGAGAGAGAGAGAGAGAGAGAGAGAGTGAGTGTCATGGGTGCAGGATTCAATGGGTGCAGGATTCAAGTAGCCTCTCATACGTAGCCTGGTACAGGGCTTAGGCATCAACATTTATTTCCTGAAACTCTTGAGGCCTCTGTTTCACCTCCAGTCCCAGGAGGCTATAGTTTGATCTTTCCTCAGCTGAGGAGTGAAAGGTGGGAATCAAGATACCCTGTTGTTGGGCCGGGCGGTGGTGGCACACGCCTTTAATCCCAGCACTTGGGAGGCAGAGGCAGGTGGATTTCTGAGTTTGAGGCCAGCCTGGTCTACAGAGTGAGTTCCAGGACAGCCAGAGCTACACAGAGAAACCCTGTCTCGAAAAACAAAAACAAAAACAAAAACAAAAACAAAAAAAGATACCCTGTTGGCTACTCCCCCCAGGACAACAAGATGGGGAGTAGCTGTGGGTCGGGAGTAGCTGTGGGTGGGGAGTAGCTGTGAGATACTTACTAGAATTGAAGTAATTTCCCAGTAGGATCTAAAGTCAGGGCAAGTACAGATTGCCTTGAAAAATGAATTCATGGGAACTTCATGGAGAGCTGTCCATACTGCCATTCTTCAGCTCAGTGCCTAGACTGTTACTAACCTTCCTCAGATCCCACTTGACCACTCTTTAGTTAAAGTTCTGCTGCCTTATGGCTTATATTTCAACAAAACCAGGCCTCTTTCTCTACACTGGACATTGGTTATACCCCAGCATACTCAATAGAGTTCATCAATATAAGCCCAAGTCCATAGCCACCCAACTCTCTTCCACTGGTTTTCCCAGTGCAAGATGACCACTCACCCTAGAGCCAGGATCCTGTAATGGTCCATGCTTCCCCTCAACCTTTCACACCAGCTAACACATACATGCATTCACTATGCACACATGGAGGAGAATCATTTTAGACCTGACTTTGCTGAAGGTCTTTGTACTTAGGCCCTCTCTGGTACATCTTGTATTTGTTTACACTGCCTCCTACCCCATAAAGAAGAATCAAAATGTTCTATATTTGTACTCTATCGTGGCTTGTGAGACCATTAGAAATCTGAATCAAAGATTATTAGAATACACATTAATGTCCACAAAGCTCCATTTCCCTTCTGCACACACACCTGATCCCAGTTCTTCCAGTACATGATTGTTGTGTAATCAAGGAAGGTCCTATGGTCTCTCCATTGCTCAGCTTTCTCAACTGAAAAGAAACAAAAGGTCCCACTGGGCAGATCAAACTTGCACCAAGGAATGGAGGCATGAAGAACTTCAATGATATTTCTTGCTCTTATAGATTAGATTGCCTTTTTTGTCCCTTGTTTGCCTGTCTGAACGGTACAGAGCAAGTTATTCCTTGAAGCTTTTCGGCTCCACAGCCTATTATGAGGTAAGGAAATGGGGGTGGAGGGTGGGGTAACTACATTGCCTCTTTCTGCTCAGGGAAGAACAGACACCCAGGTATATGTAGGTACTGGGGTCAGTCCAGTTAGTTCAAAAGACAAGTCTAGGACAGTCTGTGGAGTCATCCCACCCCGTCCCGCCCTGCCCATCCCCCAGGGGCAACAGGAAATGGCTTGGTCTAGTTTGTGGCCAGGGCAGCAAGGCTGGCTTCCTCTAAGTCCTGTTTCCTTTATCCGGTTGTTTTGCTCTGAATCCACCAAGCTCAGCCTTCCCCTCCTCTCCATTTCCACCCTCTCCTCCGGTCCAGAGTTGGGCAGGACGGATGCATGACGTTTTAAAATCCCTAACCAGGTTGTAGGGTGGGGGTAGGGGGCTTCGTTGCCTTCCACACTACTCGAGGACAGGTCCAACGTCCCATCCACGCCCCCTGCTGTATGAGGGAGATACAACTATTGCCACTGTGAAATACAGGTCCCTAGTCCCACTCTTACTGACCAGGGCCCATAACAAGTCAGACAAAGACAAGAAGAATCGGTTCACATCATTAGCTCCATTTATTGGGGCCTCAATGGGTGTATACATATCCTGGATCTTTGAGTACAGGCAATCTGAGCTGAGAGGGTGTTACCAAAACACGAATCAGTTTGTTTCCAATCTTCTGTAAGGAGAGTGAGAACAGGGACAACGCTAGAATTCACGGGTAGCCATGGCACTTAGTGCAAAGAGCTTTTCCCAGCAGGTGGCGACAGCGTATAGGGCACGTAGCAGGAGCCGCCTCCGACTGCTGCGTGGCTGTACCGTTTGCTTCTTTGGCTGCTGGATCTGCTAGTAGAGACCAGCTGTGAGACAGTGCATACAGATCCTGCACCCTTGCCTTCATCTCACAGCTCATATTTAGCCATGAGGGAAGTGGGTTGTCATCAGATCAGTTGGTCCTAACTGAGTCCAAAGCCTCAGGCCATTGGTACTGTATAGCCCTTAGGGGAGGGGAGATTGAGGAAGCATACCCTGTAGAATGTTCGGCAGTGTCTGCGCATCACTGCCTCGGTGCGCACTGCCACTGTCCATGCCGCTTTCTCTAATGCATTGTGGGGTACTCCAGCCACACTCCCAAGAAGGGTCTGACCCAAGGACTCAATAGACAGTAGGATGCTACTCTCCTGAGTTGGAAAGGGAGGAAAGCCAGAGCAGGGGGGTGGGGGAGGGGCCTGAGGAGGGAACAAATAGTTGTTTGGGGGCACCTCCCCCATACCTTTTGGGTACCACAGGAAGTCCCTGGTTGTCCTTGACCTCTGCCAGCTCCAGTCAGATTTCTCTGAATGAAGCGGTGGTGACGGGTTCCAGGCTCTGTACGTTGGACTCCCAGCCCAGCCCATTGCATGGCAGCCTGCAAGTCCTGGAAGATGACGGCTTGATAGTGACGGAGTACCTCCTGGACACTGCAGGACTGAGACCCAGGCCAGCCCAGGGCAGATCCAAGAAATGCCAGCAGCAGCAGTAGTATGTAGAAATCAGGCTTTGGGGGCACCTGGAGAAGACACCAGGTTAGGGCTGAGAGCATAGGCCTCCCAGCACATGAAGTGGCCCCATAGGCACTTGGAGTCACCCACCACACAAAGGATGCTTCTTCATCTTTGAGATGCTAGGAGATAAACAATCTCATCAGAGGCTCTGGCCATAGTTTATAACCTGAGCAGTCCTAGAGAAGGGAAGAGGCAAACCAAACACATGTTCTGTGAATGTTTGCGGAATGTGGAGTGGGGGATGGGGAAGTATTTTCACTGAGCTCTGAAGGACTAGGAAGGTGACAGAGACCAGGTCCACAGACAAGGGGTGGCACTATGGTCTACATTGGAGAGGTAGAAAAGTGAGCACCTGGAGTACCATGGATGTGTAAGCGCTCCCTTACTTTGTACAGGAAGTGGAATGGGGGAGGGGGTACAGCAAGAAGTGATCCCTTGTACAGCTTCACCCCTGACCACACTCAGACCCATAGCTACTAGTCATAGCCCACTCCCATCCCCTGATTGTTATTCTCTTGGTTGTTCTCTCTCACATACACCTAAAGCCCTCTGGGTGAACAAGAAGGGATCTAGGAACAGAATCTCTTTGTTCTTATGCAGTATGAGAACTCCAATCTCCCTTGATAGCTCTGCTACAACCAGCCAAAGAAAGCCCCAAAGTATGGCAAAAACAATGGCTCAGAACTCCAAGATTCACTCCCAATGGGAAGGGAAGGGTGGTGGGAAGGTTCAAAGACAGCAGGAGAAGAAACAAAGTCTGCCAACAGGTTTCCTCCCACCCAGAAAGGAAAGGACAGTTGCTGGGGAAAGCTCGAACGTTAGGAAGACAGCTAAAGGTCCCCAGGACCCTAGCTCCTTCAAATTGACTAGTTCCCAAATCTGCCTCTAGGCCCCCAGCTGGAGTTAGGCAGTCTACTTGGTCTGGAAAATTAATCTTGTGAACCCAGCGAAACGATGGGACTCAGCTTCCCAGCCCTGGCAGGAGAGCTGAACTGAGCATACCACAAACTCCCACATAGAGATGGGTGGGGGTTGGGACTTCTGCCTGGGATACCAGCAAACTGGAGGACTCTCTTGAAAGTCACTGAGTACCATGGCCAATGGAGGGATATTGAGAACGCATCAGACCACATTAAGAACAAGAGCCAATTAGGCCAGCCAGTGAGACTGCTAGTGTATCTAGCACCAAGGGATGGGACAGGCTGCTTAGGGAGTTCCTACAATGCAGGCTTAACTCAGTATAAGAAAAAAGCGTTCTGGGAAAGCCAGGACATAAGCACCTACAAAAGTCATTTTACTGGGTACCATTATAAACATCTGGGGGTTTCCATGAGGCACAGGGAAAAAGCCTACCCCCAACCCCACCCCAGTTATGCCCATGCCCAGCCCCTTGGGCTGAGGCCCCAAGCTGCTCACCATAGGCCTCTCAGGGTCTGGCCTTCCCTTACTCCCTCTAGCAGGCCACACATAAATGATCCTGGGGTCCTCTGAGTCTTTGGGTGGCAAATGAAGCAGGCAACTGGCAGCCACACCAGGTCCTCTACTGGCTGATGGGTCCTCCCTGAATAGAGCTTGAAGGAAGGTGGAGAAGCTTTTGAAGTTGGCTCCTCCAGCAAAGGGAGGGAGCGACAAGGGAGGGAAGAAAAAGTTCAGTAACCCAGCCCGGCCTCTAACCCCTCCCCAACCTCTCCCCAATCACAATTAACCTGATCCTGGAGCACAGCAGCTGCTTGTTGCAGCAGATCGAGGGCTTCTCTGGGTCTTAGATATCTGAGTTTCCAGCCCCATAAAGACCCCTGCTCTGTCTCAATGGGCAAAGAATAATAGTCTCTCCTGATATGCAGGTTAGTCACCAGTCCCCAATCCACATCCAAACCAACTTGTCCAAGCAAGTCTGGAACTTGGGACTTCCCAGACTTTCATTGCTGGCCCACTTCATCCCTCCAAACCTTGGGGTCATCCAGGAGTAAGAGGCCCAGTAACAGGGTTGCTGTTTTCCTTTAGTGTAACAGCAGCCTCTGGAACACAACTAATCTTTGCTGAGCAAAGCTCAACCTCTTCCAGCAGAAGAAAAGCAATGGTGTGGGCCAACAGGTTAAGGCACTTGCCGCCAAATCTTGACAACACGAGTTTGATCCCAGGGGCCAACATAATAGGAGGAAAGACTCATGTAGGTTATCATCTGACCTCCACAAGCAAATTGTGGCATACATGAACCCAATAAATAAATGTGGTACATGAGGAGTTGCTCCACCTCAGCAACAAAAATATCCGCAATAGACAAGAAAAATAACCTGGACACTATAGGCTATCTAAACTTTCCCACAGCCCTACAGGAAACTTTACCCAAGTATCCTCTTCTGTAACTGCTCCACTGCATTCAGTCCGAGAGTCAAAAACAGTCAAAAGAAGAAACCACCAATAGCTTGATGCTATAGTCAAATTCTTTGCCCTTCATCAGTGAAGGAACTACTAGGTATGGTCCCTCAACATAGGGAACCCTGTGGATTTCTCCATAGAAATACCCAAGCAGCTCTCTTAAGACATTCCCTCAGGACAGAAACAAGAAGTACTTCCCCAAACCAGCACACAAGTAACCATGCTGTTAAGCATCAATCAGCAGGTTCTACTCTTGTCCTCTCTACTGTCAAGATCTTGTCCCCTCTACTGTGGTTCCTAGAACCACAGGAAGAGTGAGCTCACACCTTCCAAGTTAAGCAAAGGTGCCTGTTGAGATTCATTTTACCTCAGATGACTACAGAACAACCAGGGCTTCTACAAGCCTTTCAATCTTTTGTAGCTTGGTCCCCATGTGACCTTCAGCCTCTTGTATCACAGATCTGTGACAGAGCCCATATTCTCCATATAGTTTATACTCTTAACATCTCCACAAAAATCTCAGCAAGCCCTCAGTACCCAACCATACTTCTTCTGGAGCACACAAGTACTTGCAGGAGGCTACATCTAAACCAGACTTGACTTGTCCATCATTCATGGAGAATAGACATCAAGACAAAACAGAAAAACAAATGAGGCCCTAGACCCAACATAACTCTGTAAAAATCTTTAATGAATAAAAGATAGACAGTGTAGGTTTTGTGCTCATTGTCCATGTGTGGCACCAAAAGTCCCATGTCCTCCACCCCTGCAATCAGAAGGTATTTTTGATGCGGGCGGCCACCAGCACTAGGATTTCCCCAATCTTTCTCTGCCAGTTGGTGATATCCTTGGACACAGCACACCACAGCTCTCCATGTCGGGGCTCTGCATTCTCACAGCGTTTCCTTACTTCCTCCTGTTGCTCCTGGGGAGATCAAAGGGTACTTTAGGTGGATTCCTTGTGAGGTACAGGTCTTGGCTGTCTCCTTGCAGATCTGGCCCCAGCAGATTTCAAGCTACCTCTTTCTCTTGTGAACATGCCCTCAAAGTCAGTGTATTTCTGTGTTGACTTCCTATCTTTTGACTCCTACAAGTTGCCATGTGCACTCTCTAAACTAGGTACTTCCTGGATTCAATGAAGTCTGGCTACTACTTCCAACGAGGACCCCAGGACACCCCACCCCCACCTTATGAGCATGGTTCCAACAAAGCTCAAAGAGGAGGGGCTCCTGGTCTTGACCACTCCCTGCCTCCTCTTCCCCACAGATTAGATGGAGCTTTCTACTGTCTCTGTCTGGTCTGCAGGTGTATAGTGTTATTACTATTACAGGTGTGCCAGTGTAGCCTCACCTCAGTGCCATGCTGTAGTTCAAATTTGTAGAAGAAGGCCCAGGCGTCTCCCAGATCTGAGTCAATCTTCACGGTGCGATGGAACCACTCCCGAGCCTTGGTGATCTTTCTTTCACTCCAGAACAGCCTGTTATGGGAGAAGTACTTAGAGCAAGGGACATAGAATAGTGTCTGCCACATTTGGGAGTCATTCTTCTATGTAGGTGATCAGCTGTACTCTGCTCCTGCTAAGACCAGCAAGCCTAGACATCTGTTATAGAAGGTTTGAGTCATGGTTCAGGGCTATCTGGAGGTCATCCCAGATCCTTCACTTATCCAAACTGCTTTTTACAACATTCACACACAGTGAGATCTTAACTTCTTTTAATTATTTGTTTTTTTTAAGATAGGGTTTCTCTGTGTAACTGCCCGGGCTGTCCTGGGATTCACTCTGTAGACCAGGCTGGTCTGGAAGTCACAGAGATCTGCCTGACTCTGCCTCCTGAGTGCTGGGGTTTAAGGCATGCACTTACTACACCACCACCACCACCGCCACCACCGCCGCCGCCGCCGCCACCGCCGCCACCACCATCACCACCACCAGGCTAGATCTTAACTTCTTAAAACTATCTGGGCCCAATACAATTTGAAACTAACCTTGACAAACACTAATTAAGGCAAATTTAAAAACAAAAACAAAAACAAACCCTGAAACCTCAGACTGCCCCTTAATAAGACTCCAACCCTGAACTATTAACCTGCCTCGTCTACCCTTTGTAGCAACCTAAGCAAACACAAAGGTTGGCTTTCACAGGTCAGTTCTGGGGACCTGGGCCCACTGGAGCTGCAGTTCCATGGCAATCAGCCCATAGCACATGACTGTTGTACCTGATACTCACAGACACTTGAATAGCAACCTGAAGAGGAGTCTTGCAGGAAGCCAAGAAACTGGACTGTTAGAAACTAACTTAGAAGTGGGGCATGGTGGCGCGGGTCTTTAATCCCAGCACCTGGGAAGCAAAGGCAGGCAGACCTCTGAGTTCAAGGGCTGCTGGTCTACAGAGTCCCAGGATGGCTACTCAGAGAAACACTGTCTAGAAAAAATAAAACAACAACAACAAAGAAACCAATTTAGAGTTGCATGGCACCCTGCTCCCCACCTGGTAGTTACTGTAGTATAGCAGGGTGAACAATGGGGAGGATCCATGGCCTGCTGTGGGAAACACTCTGGCAGGTCCAGGACTTGGGGCTGTATTCATCTGGCCTTAGTGAGGCAGCTGGTGCACAGCTAACCTTTCCACTACAGGCAGCTGTTTGGGCTGCTTTCCGGTACCAAATGGAGTAATTTCATGCTGATAACTTGATTGTTTTTTAAGCCATATAGTACTCTTAATTGCTTGGTGTTAGATAAACTGTGATTTAAAGAGCATAAACTCAAGATAGGAGGCACATGGAACACTGGCTTGGGAACAGCAAAGAGTGACTTATTTACTCTAATAAAGCCTTTTGTAAGGTTTATGGCTGCTCTGGCTGAGGGCATATAAAAGTTACTCTGGGAAAAGGAAGCCCAGGCTAGCAAGGCTAGCAAACCTCCCTCATCTACTAGGGTTACAGACTCTACAAAGGTGCCAGGTAGTAATGTGAAGGCAGCTGTACCAGACCTTGAACACTCAGTGCCACTCAAAGAGAACCAAATTAGTTCTAAGGCTCTGCCTCCACCAGTGGCATATATTTGTGCTGGGAGGTGATAGATCACTTGATGGCAACTTGATGGCATTGCAGATGAACCACAGTTAATCATTTCTGTACTCCAAGACAATCGCTTACAGCAGGTTATTCCCAGGGTCACTGAGCTGAAAGGGTCTGAGTTCTGCTAACACAATGAAGTGCAAGCCTCTTGGCTCTCTGGGCAGTGATGTTGATACATTTTGTCCCAGCAGTCAGGAGGCAGAGGCAGGCAGATCTCTGAGTTTGACACCAGCCTGGTCTACAAAGTGAGTTCCAGGACAGTCAGGATACACAGAGAAACCCTGTCTCAAAAACAAACAAACAAACAAACAAACCCAAAAAACCCAACCAACCAACCAACCAAACAAACAAACAAACAAACACAAAAACCTCTCAGATAAAGCCCCTTCAGTCAAATGGGCTTGGCTTAATACTTAAGTTCTGTGTAGACCAATAACAAATCTGTCTTGCAAGTAACCCAGGCCCCATGTGGTACTGAAACAAAGGGAACAGTCCCATCAGAAGCCTGGGCCTGAGGATGAGCCAAGAACCCAGGAGGCCTGAGAAGAGGGAGTGACCAGACAGATGTCTAGACAGCACCTCAAGGCCTCTAGCAAGAGAGTGCTGCCCAGAAGACTGAAGCAGGAGTTCTGGCAGCTGAGGCCCATGTAGCTCATCCTGTGCAAACAAAGTCAGCATAGCCAGGCAAAGATGCTGGGAAACTATACCAGAACCCCAAGTAATCCCAAAAGAACTATTACTCACTTAGCCACAGCCAAAAGCACATGGGGGTCATGTTCACACTTCTTCAGGGCATCCACACTCTTGGTCTTTCTCTGGGGCCTTGCCTCAAGGAAGACAGCTTCAGACCACAGGATACCTGAAATTCACAAGCAAAAATCTACCCCTCAGCCTCACTTCTGGCTTCAGAAATGTACCTTCTAGGCTGCCCAAAAGGAGTCTCATAATCACAAGGGTCTCAAATATCCACCTACCCAGTAACCTGAATTATAGCAGCCTTGCCAGAACAGAATTGGACAGCTTTCATTCTTACTGAGTCAGCAAACAGGAAATGGGCAATGATAATCTGAAAGCACTATCACATACTGCTGTTAAAATAAAGATAGCAGTCAGGTATGATGGTGCACACCTTTGATCCCAGAACTCAAGAGGCAGAGGCAGGCAGATCTCTTTGAGTTTGAAGTCAGCCTGGTCTATAAAGTAAGTTCCAGGATAATACTCAGGACTGTTACACAGAGAAAGTCTGTCTCAAAAAAGAAAGAAAGATAGAGATAGAGATAGAGATAGAGATAGAGAGAGAGAGAGAGAGAGAGAGAGAGAGAGAGAAGAAAAGAAAAATATAACTAGGTATATGACACATGTCAATAATCTAAGCATTTGAGAAGCCAAGAGCTGAAGCAGGAAGATCATGATTTAGAAGCCAACCTAAGCTACAAAGTAAGTCTAGCAAAAAATCAAAACCAAAAGCAAAGCAAAAGAAAACAAAACAAAAAAAAAAACCTACCACTACTAGAACAGCAACAACAACAACAACAACAAAAACTCAGCCAGGAAGATGGCATAAGCTGTAATTTTAGCCCTTGGGAAGTAGAATCAGAAGAGTAGAGGAATTCAAGGCCAGCCATTACATTTTGTGTCTGAGGCCATTACAGGCTATATCAAACAAAGTACTATTCTAAATACCCAGCATAACTTTAACTCTGTACAATAACCTAGAAATAATACAAACACTAAGAGAAGAGATTCCTGAGTAGTAGGTTAGAGCAATCTCTATTATCCTCTTTTAAAAACTCAAACTTCTTCAAGTGACATATACATTTCTTTTAGTTTTCTTTTCTTTTTTTTTTTTTTTTGGTTTTTCGAGACGGGGTTTCTCTGTATAGCCGGGATTAAAGGCGTGCGGCACCACCGCCCGGCTTCTTTTTGTTTTCAAGACAGGGTTTTTCTATGTAACAGCTCTGGCTGTTCTGGAACACATTTTGTAGACAAAGCTAGCCTTGAACTCAGAGATCTGTCTCTGCCTCTCGAGTGTGTGACGGCACTGCCTGACTACCTTTCTTATATAACACATGTAAGAAAAATAATAAAAGTTAAAACTTGGCTTAAGGGGCTGAAGAGAAATGGCTCTGAGGTTAAGAGCACTGACTGTTCTTCCAGAGGTCCTGAGTTCATTTCCCAGCAACCATGTGGTGGCTCACAACCATCTATAATGGGATCTGATGTTGTCTTCTGGCATGCAGGTGTACTTGCAGATAGAGTACTCATATATATAAATCTTAAAAAAACAAACAAACAAACAAACAAACAAACAAAAAAACCCAAACCCAAAACCAAACCAACTTGGCTTAAAAAAATGATAGTGCCTCAGAACATGAAATCAAATTCTCCCCTACTAGAACTGAGTGTTTAGTCTGAAGTCTTTGTTATCATATCAGCAAATCTGGACTAAAATGGGACACACAGGTTGTGCCTTTTTTTTTTTTTTAAAGGTTTATTTATTTATATGAATACACTGTAGCTGTCTTCAGATACACCAGAAGAGGGCATCAGATCCTACTAGAGATGGTTGTTAGCCACCATGTGGTTGCTGGGAATTGAACTCAGGACCTCTGGAAGAGCAGTCAGTGCTCTTAACCGCTGAGCTATCTCTCCAGCCCCACAGGTTGTGTCTTAAAGGAGTCCATGGAAATCAACTGAGCCCATCCCACAGAAGATTTCCTCTGTGCCATACTATGTGGCCAGGAATCCTTACCAGAGTTAGGGCACTCCTGCAGCGCCTTGGCCATGAGGGTATTGGCAATGTTCTTCAGCCCTGCCCGGTACTCCAGCCGTACTGACTCCAACCTAGGAAAACAGGCCCAGGGATGGGATATCCCCATCTATCATAGCATAAACAACTACTCCAGCTGGCCTTCTGCCAGAGACCCTTTGAAAAGGCTTTTACATTTTTACTTTATTATTATTGTCATGCCACCACATATGTGTGGAAGTCAGAGGACCACTTCTGGAAACTACTTCCAACAATGAGTTCCATGAACCAAACTCAGATGGTCAAATTTGCTCAGCAAGTGCTCTTTCCCCACTGTCAGTAAAGGAAGGCTCTTGTCTCCTAGAAGGGGTTAGAATTCCATTCTCTACACAGATGGCAGCACTGGTGTCCACAGCCTGTTAGAAGGCAGCAGCCCTATCAGATCCCAGACTCCACAGGATCCAGATACAAGTAAAGATAAGGGATCAAGTACAGACCATATGTGGTCACTACATGAGAGGCACCTAAGAAGGAACCTCCTCAGCAGTGTCCTCTCTCATCCCAGTCTAACCCCTAGCTGGACTCTGCATCCATTACCCATACCTTGTCATGTGGCCCAACCTGGCATAACTCACTAGCCTTCTGCATCCATCTCCCAGGTACCAGGGAATACTAGATACACCATACTCAGCTCCCTCTGGAAGTTTCTTCATGTTACTCAAGGTCTTCCTGTTACCTCCTTTATAGTTCACTTTCTCAGTTTCATTCCCTGACATCTTAGAATACTTCACCAAAAGTGTACTTACCATCTAGACCCAGCTCTCCCAAGAAGGACTATGACCCTCATAGAAGCTGTCACCTGTTATGGAGCCCACAGGAGCCTGGCCTAAAATGAAGAAGGAACCGAGGACAGCCTCTAAAGGGGAAACTAAGGTAATTACCAAGAACTCACCATAGCCCAGGATTCTTTGGGTTTTTCAGACGAGATTTCTCTAAAATGGCCCGAGCACGAGTCAGCTGCCCAATCTTTTCCTCTAGCCGGGAAAGCAAGAGCCACAGTGGTGTAGAATGAGGACATTTCTTCAGCTGTGACCAAAATATTGTACAAAATAAGAGCTCAGAGAATATCTATAAAAGACTGATAATTGTGGTCAGCTTCTAGGAGTACTTTAGGGCTGTTAGACATGTACTTCATGCTCGACATGGCTCTGTAGTGTGTACATACAAACAAGTATAGTATACATCAGTTTACTGTGTATGATTGTGTTGTGTACATGTACTATAAAGAAGGCTTGTAGGACTTTGTATATGTGTCGCGTGCACATGTGTATACAGGGTGTGCACTTCATACATAATGTTCTCATTATGCTACATTTGATGTACTGAACGAAACCTATATATCTCAAACACAGGGTATGCAACTTTGTAACAAAAAACCACAGTACCCACAATGACAGGAAGAACAAAGGCTTGATCCCAAGCACAAAGTTCTATCCCTGACTACTGGCCCTCCATTTCTTCCAGAGGTGTGGGAAAATGACTACTGCTATGCTGCTGGGTTCCCTGAGATATCTTGATAGAGGCTCACCCCCTGGTTATAGGCCTCCCGGGCGTTCTCCATCAGTTCTCCCTGCTCCTCAATCTGCCCCTTCATCATCCACAGTTTAGGGAAATCCTCATAGTGCTTCAGAGCCTCCTCACACAGTTCCTGAGCAGCGGTGATGTTCCCCAGCACCCACTCCAGCTTCACAGACTTCATGAACACCTGCAAAGCAGAGAAGCACTGTCACATGAGGGGCACTTCCACCATTTATCTGGATGCTATCTTTACATCACATGTTTGAAGCCATAGACATCTTTACACATCTGTCCTGGGCCTTCTAAGTTTTTGTGTTAGCTCTTTTGTGAATATAAAAGGTATAGATAAATAATGGGATGTATGTTAAAGCCCAATACCAAGACTGGGCTGGGGTCTGAGCTGTGCCACTTATCTTGCTCCTTCCAAATGACATGTAGGAGCCACAAGGCACCCCGCCAACCCTCCCCAACCCACCAGTCACCACCTACACGGGCAGTGGGTGCGCTGCTCCGAGCCTTGGCCAGTAGCCTCCGGGCTCGCTCGTATTCATTGTTCTCTGACTCCAGCTTCACAGCCGCCAGCCAGATCTCTTCGCTGTTGGGGTTGGCCTGGAGAACAAACACAGCTGCATTAGAAAGGCTCAGTACAAAAGTGACCAAGGCTAGATCACACTTAATCAAAAACAGGCAGTCTGAAAAATGAGCTGGCCCTCTCCCTGATGCAGGACTAGTATTAGTGCACTCCTGCACAGGCTACAAGCCAGGGGACGACAGGGTGGACCTCTGATCCAGGACTAGTATTAGTACACTCCTGCACAGGCTACAAGCCAGGGGACGACAGGGTGGACTCAGTCAGGACCCACACTTACTTTTTACTTGAAGGAAAAACAAAACAAAAAAACAAACAAAAAACCAAAACCCCACATTTGTCTTCACTCTTGTACAGAGATGAAGCAACAATGCTAGAGCTCTAGAGCCGTCTTCTCTAGGATCTGTCTAAATTCTACACAACCTCTACAACACATGCCTTTGTGTCATGAGCTGCTATATCTAACTTAACCCCTTCCCACTGGCTAGCCACACCATGTGTTCAGGGTAGAAAGATGTTCAATGTGCAGATAATGGAGTGTAAAGGGCTCCCAAAGGCATGGGCCAAGTGGTGCATTCAAATCTTGTACCCACTCTCTGGGACTTCTGCTACATGGCTATGGTGCCTAAAATTATGGGAAAGGAGAACCAACCATCTTAGAACACTGGCATGCAACTAGAGGAGAAAACTGTATATGGAAAGGACATCATTTACTCTGCACAGCACTGTCACCTGCTCCTATGTCCTTTCCAGGTGACAGCTGAAGCAAAAGATTGACCCAAGTTAGCTCTTGTTTCTCACAAGAGACAAACTTTACTGTGCCCCTAGGCTATGGTACCAAACTGATATTTATATAGCACCCTATAACTTATTAAAAAGAATCTAACACCTATGTTATGATAAAATATTAGGATTTTTTTGATAGAAATAGCTTTCAAATGTTACATGTTGACTGGGAAGATATCTCAGTGGGTAAAGTGCTTACTGGGCAACCACATAAAAGTCATGCATGGCAATGCACATCTAAAACCCCAGTACTGGAGGGTGGAGACAGATAGGTTCTAAAGACCAACTGATGTCCAGATAAACCAAAATGGCAAGCTCTAAGCTAAGGGGGGAGTAATAGAGGAAGAAGACACTCTAGGTTGACCTCTACTGCACACATACACACACAGAGAGAGACACAGACACAGACATACATACATACATACACACACACACACACACACACACACACACGTCACCAGGCTTGCCAGCATCTATACTCTATACATGTTGTAACAGCCAGACCTAGTCAGTCTAGGTAAATGTGGCTGTTTTAATGGGGCCCCATTCTCAAAGAGGCCCTAAAGCACCCAGGCGGCTTATGCTTTGGTCTTGTACTCTGGAATACTTGGCCTACACTCAAACTAGGTAGAAGGGACTAAGAGGCCAATGTTTCTTGCTGGGGTGTTCTTCATGTTTTGGCCCCATAGATCTGGCCATGCACATAATGTAGTATCTCTAGGCTATACCATGGCACATCCTAAAGAATATGTATAGGATAAGTTCTGAGGCTACAATAGCATCAAAGCTGAGTTGTATTCATGGACCCTTCCAGAGCAGGTATCCTTCACCTACCTGAAAGGCTAGGGCCAGGATGCTCCTTGCTGCAGGTACATCCCCCGCCAGCCACTTTGACTTGGCACCCATGAGCCACAGCACCTCTGCCTTGGGGCAGTGGGCCACAGCCCTCTGCAAGAGTGCTTCCAGAGACTCCCTGCAAGACAGAGGACATGGTCACTAGGGCCAAGGCCATAAATCAGAGCATATAGCTACCAAGATGCTGAAAAGACAGTTACCACTCCAAAGTTCGGTGCTATTAATGATTTACAAGATTTTACAATGGGGAGAGTGTGGGGAAATCTTTCCTTCCAATAAAGAATCTAAAATCAACTACTGAAGAGTGCTCTATAAAGCAAAGCATTGTTTAAACAGCAGAGCCTTTTATAGCCATGTATCCTGGGGCACTGATAACATGGCAGTCTGGTGACAGTGAAGGCCTTTTTATCTTGAAGCACAGAGGATACCACGAATTCACTAATAAAGATTAAGGTCCCTAACCCTGTCCCCCTCCCAAAAAAAGGTCTCATTGAGAATGATTTTAGGACATTATTGAGCAAGAATATTTGTTAGCCTTGGATACTGGGTATGAAGTCTCTAAGTTATCTCTGGCCACCACTACCTCTTGGTCACACCACCTTCACTTGGATACTGGGCATGAAGTTTCTGGGTTATCTCTGGCTCACCACCACCTCATAGTTCATCTTCGATGATAAACCCTATGAGCCCTCATGTTCAAGAGCAAACCAAAGAATATGCAAAACCATGTCATACAGAAAGTGCCTACATAAACAACACCTTGTTTCCCAGAGCTCTGGGCCCAAGTACCGATGACTTTCTTCATCAGTCTGTGAGCTAGCAGCAAAGAAAAAATAGGTTGTTGGAGGGAACTAACCACTGAAACATGTGAGTGGACAGAGCATACACTAAAGCCATGAGTCATGAGGTCTCAACCCACACCTGACATGACGATACCAAGTGACATTCTACAGAGTGAGTCATAAGGATCATTTTAGAAAGTCCTCAGGTTCCCTAAGGAGTTAACTCTGAAATACTGGGTAAGGAAAAGGCCCTGTAGAAATTAACATCAAATAACATCAGAAAAGAAACAAGACCTCAAAGTCACAGCTGCAAGCTTGGTGAAACCAGCAAAGTCTGTGTCCACCCAAATAGAGAAGAGCTGAGGACCCATAAGAGGATGATATAGGGTACCCAGGGACAAGAGCCCAAAACCCTAGAGAGTTACACATTTAAAACAAGAAATTACAATGCCTAATTTAATCAGCATTTACAGCCAATAAGGCAGACCCAAAGGTTTTTCCAATTAAAGGGTACAATTAAAGGAAATTGTCAAGGACCTCCTTCTGTGTACAAAAACCAGCCAAACCCCAGAAAGCTAGAGCAATGTAAATGAAAAACAGACTGCAAGGACCCTAACACTGTACCGCCCACTGCTAAAGGCAGTGCCCCAGCATTAACAGCCTGCATTGGAAACTCTAGACCCATGGGGCACTAGTAAAGAACAGGCTTCCAAGATGCCTTGGTTTCTCAACTATAAAATAGTGATAATCCAATCACTGAAGGGCTATAAAGAATGAGGCAGTTTCAAAGTCCCAAGGGCCACAAATGTGTAACCTGATCACAGAGAGTCAGACCCAAAATGGTGTATTGCAGGGAAGTGAGGAATCCAGCACCACACAGATAGGAAGTAGAAACTGACCACATACCTGGTACCATGGTTTTTCTCAAAGTATGCAGCTCGTAACCACACACTTTTCTTGCTGGGGAAGACTTGCAGGGCATAGGCATATATGGCTCGTGCACATTCCAGGGCATTGTGGGCCACACACTAGAACAGAGAGATACTATGAGGAAAGTAATTCAGGACTGCCATCGAGCAGCTAATAATACCTTTTCAAGCCTCTTGCAATCCTCAGTAATGACATCTGGTAGCAAATATGCTGTGGCATTAATCTAATTAAACTACAATCTAAGGCAAGGACACCTGAGGATGGAGACACAAATGCTGATAAAGCCCAGAAGGCAGAAGGCAGCCTACTGAGCCCAGCATGTGTGGAGAGCCGGTCAGAGGAGTACTAGTTCTTACCTGCAGGATAACACATGTACACAAACATGTACATGTTTAGGGCTATGGCTAAGGCAAGTGTTATGTATGCACATACACTAGGCTATACTATATATGTACACACACACACACACACACACACGTATCACATGCTGATTTTTAACAAGGAGTACTTTTTATTTTCCATTAAAAGGTTAAGCTATTCAAAACCTGTACAAGACAAATAAACCAACACAAAGAGGATGAGAAGTCCACCAATCTAGTAGAAATGACAGCAGACACCATTAGGCTCTGCTTCCTTTAGTCTCCCCACCCCTACCCTATCCTCCAACACCAGGGATTAAACCCAGTGCCAGGGCTTTGTAGTAATAAGCGCTCTACCATTGAGCTACATGCTTCACCCTTTTCTATTTGTTATTTTGAAACAGTCTCTCTCAGTCACCAGGCTGGACTTGAAACTGCAGTCTCATCTTAGGTTTCTAAAGAGCTGTGTAACAGGGCTGCACCATTAGGCCTAGATCCTCTAATTTTTTTTCTATGTTCAAGTGATTTTAGGGGCTGAAAACATGACTCAGTAGTTAAGAGTACTTGCTATTCTTACAGAGAAGGATACAAATTTGGTTGCCAATACTCAAATCAGGTAGTTCACCAGTAATTCCAGCACCAAGAAATATGGTGCCCTCTTCTGGCCTCTGCATGTATCTGCAAGCATGCAGCACATGTACACATATATGTACTGTGGTGATTTAAATAAAAATGGCCCCCATAAGCCCATAGGGAGTGGTACTATTAGGAACTGTGGCATTGCTGGAGTAGGTGTGGCTTTGTTACAGGAAGTGTGCCACTAGGGGGTGGGCTTTGAGGTCTTAGAAGCTCAAGCCTGGCCAAGGTGTCATTGTTGTTTTCTGCTGCCTGCAGATCCAGCTGTACAACTAACTCTTAGCTCTTCCTGTCTGCCTACTCAGTGTCACCATGACAATAATGGATTAAACCTCTGAAACTATAAGCCAGCCCCAATTAAAATGTTTTCCCTTATAAGAGTTGCTGTGGTCACGGTGTCTCTTCAGAGCAATATAAACCCTAAGACGTGTATACACATGCACTAAAATAAAAATAAGTCTTAAAACAACAAAACACACCCAACATTCATATACATAAATAGATAGGTAGGGGTTGGAGAGATGCGTTAGCAGTTACAAGTACTGGCTGCTCTTCCAGAAGACTGGAGAGTTCAACTGCCAGCACCCACATGGTGGCCCATAATAACTGTCTGTAACTCAAGTCCCAGGGGATCCAACATTCACTTCTGGCTTCCTTGAGTACTGCATGTACATGGCGCACTGATACATGCAGGCAAAATATCCATACACATAAAATAAAATAAAACAAAAAAGAAAGAAAAAGTGATAGGTAGTGGATGGCTTAGTAAGTAAAGATCTACATAGTAACTAACAAGTTGAGTTCAATCTCCAAGGCCCACATAGCAGAAAGAAGGAATCAAGTCCCATGCAAATTGCCTTTTCTGACTGTCACATGCATGCTATAGAATGTACACACATAGACTTAATTTTTTTTTAAGTGATAGGTAATATCAAATGACAAACCTAGCCACAAAATGCAGTGACATGATCTGATGAGAGCTAGTTTAAAGGATCTTCATGGTGACCATAAGATCCAACAATATACTGAGCAGGCTAAAAGAAGACCAAGGGCTCCCTTCCTGAAAAAAAAAATCACTTCCTTCTATATCTGCAGACAGCACCTGGGAAGCAGAGACAGGCAGATCTTTCAGTTTGAAGCCAGCTTTATCTACACAGTGAGGTCCAGGGTGGCTGAGGCTACACAGAGAAACCCTGTCTCAAAAACAAAAAAAAAAAGAGAGAGGTCTAAATCTGGGGGTAAGTTAATGGCCACTAGGGAGAAACAAGGACAAGCTATTACAATGGTAAATTGTACACACCACAGGGAAGTTATCTGGTTATGTAAAATTCCTAGTCAGGTACCTTCATAGAGGAGAGATCCCAATGAGCCTGTTAGTGTCCAAGACCCCACAATGTGTGTAGAAACAGGTGTGGAAGGAAGAGAGGTATGCCCAGATTTTCATCAGACGCAATCCCTCCTATATCAATCACATAACCTGACTCTAATTCAACCACTAGAGAAGTCAAGAGGGATCTTTTCTTGGATGTTGTACCCTGACCAGAAATCCATATCTTGAAGGGTTAGATTCTAGACAGGGCAGACGTGGACTACATACTTGTATGTGGCTGCTGACCAAAGCAATGAGGTCAGCCGCAAATTTTTAGAACCTCTATTGCCTTAACTGCCTATAGCATCAACCCACACAGGAAGGAGCACTAGGAGCACACCACATTTCTAAGCACACAAGAAACATTATTTCTCATTCCTGCATGAAAAGAAAATACTTGGAGGATACCAAAATAATTTCAAAATGCTTCCTCAAAAAATGCTGACAAAGGAAACAACAGTAAGGTTACAACAAAGTCCTAACAGTTGCTGCCTGGGACAGCTGGTCAGAGAGAACATGTTGTTTGTATATATGTAGAACACATCAGGATCAGAACTCAATAGGTATATATACTTAGTATGAGGGAAGACCTGACACTATACTGCCAAAGACAAACCTCAATCAAGCCACAAGAAAATATAATAAACAGCCAGGTCAAAATGTATTCCATAAACCCAGGTCCCTGGTTCCACCCTAGTATCAGATAACGAACCAACCAAATAAATAATAAAAAGGAGTTTCATGAAACAAAGACAGATTGAAGCCTTTTTAAGGTCTTTCTCAGGTTAAGGTTGACCTGAAGCTGTATTGCCCTGGCTATCTTGGAATTCAATCTATAGAACAGGCTGGCTTTGAACTCACAGAGATCACCTGCCCGTGCCTCTGAGTCCTGGGATTAAAAGGGTGAACCACCATCACTTGGATTAAAACACACACATACATATTTTTAAAGAACACCTAGAAGTTGGTGAGATTCAAGAAAGACCTAAAGACTATGAACGGTGTATTCCAGCCTCACTTTCTAGTCCTAACACTGTGTGCTAAGGAACCACAGCAACATGTAGAGTGTAGGGAAATGATGCAAGTATACAAAAGTGTGAAGAGTGATAAGGCACGTAGGTAAAGTGGGTAAGGATAAGGAATAAGGATAAAGGGCATATACAAACTCTGTAATTCTGTATTATTTCTGGGTATCTGAAAATTTTTTCTTTTGTTTTTTTGAGACAGGGTTTCTCTGTGTATCCCAGGCTGTCCTGGAACATGGTCTGTAGATCAGGCTGTCTCCCAGTTGAAATTTTTATTTTAAAATAAAAAAGCCAAGTGTTGTGGTACTGGATATGGAACGATACTACCTACTTGTAAGGTAGAAGCATAATGACCATAGTCCAAAGTTAGCCTGCAATACTAAGACCTTGTCTCAAAATTAATGAAAAAAAAAAGCTGGGTATGTTACCGTATACCTTTAATCCAATCATTTAAGAGTAGGAGGCAAGCAGCTTCTTTAATATACTCAATAAATCTCTTTTCTTCCAAAATCACTACTAAATAAATAAATAAATAAATAAAATGCCATATCTGTTTTTAGCAACTTTTTGTTTGTTTTGTTTGAGATACGGTCTCTATGCAATCCTGGCTGTCCTGAAACATGCTATGTAGCCAGACTGGCCTCAAACTCATAGGCTCCACCTTCTCTGCCTCCTGAGTGCTGGGATTAAAGATGTGTGCCCTGTTTTTGTTTATTTGGTTTTTTTTTTTTTTTTTTTTGAGTGTTTCTCTGTGTAGCTCTGACTATCCTGGAACTCACTTTGTAGACCAGGTTGGCCTCAAACTCAGAGAGATCTGCTTTGCCTCCTGTGTGGTGGCATTAAAGGCATACACCAACCACTATTTTAATATCCTAAACATGTTTATCAATGTAGCCCTATGGTTTTCCCTCTGGAAGACTGTTTTGAGGACATAATCTCAAAGAGGCAGCAACTCTATACAAAATGTTTCCTGAAATGCAATCTGCAGAGGAAGCAGAAGTGGGAGAAACCCTGGTGCCATAAGGTTCTCAGCTGAGCATGTTGTGATGCAGCCACACCTCTGTAAGAGCTGTTCCTCCATTTAGTAAGCACTCAAACTTAAACTCATGTGTATAGAACTCTCCTACCTTATGACTGCAACTCCATCTAAAGTAAGTGTATTAGAACTAGATGTAATACATGATCCTGTAATCCCAGCAATGAGGAGAATAAAGCAGGAAGCTCTCCAGCCCAAAGACCATCTGGCCTACAGAGTGAGGCCCTGATTCAAAAACAGACAAAAAATAAAAGCAAGCACATCAGAAAGACTTTTGAGGAGACAGAAGAGAAGGAGGGAGGGAAAGATATGGAAAGCAACATAAACATTAATGAGGCCACTGTTCCTGACAAGGCTATGGACTGGAAAGCAAGCAAGCAAGCAAGCTTACACTGTCAGCGTCTTCCATCCAGGTGTGTTTGCGATCTTCCTCTTCAATCCCGATACCGATTACAGCACGCATGACAGCCTGGCACGTGGCCACACTCCCTGCTCTGTCACACTCCTCAGCATCCTGAAGGAAGGACAGAAATTTTATTTATTTTTTTAGTAAAGTGAATGCTATTCCTGAATAGCATTGTCTTGGGCATGTATTTTGACAAACCTGAATATCAAATCTGCCATAATGTCTCTTCATTGATGCTCCTGTCCTAATTATCCTGCATTTAAGTGCCCAATAAACATGCATGACTGAATGAAACCATATTTATACATTCAGTGCATTTTAAGCATGATCCTGCTACACACAGAGGTTATATTATTAAGCTTTTACACGAAATAAAGAGTATCTAGAAATCCAAGTTTTGCAACATTCCAAATAAATTTGAAATTTTATTTATTTTGAAATAAAAAGCCAAGTGTGGTGGTATACACCTGTAATATCAGATATTTGTAAGGTAGAAGCATAATGACCATGGTCCAAAGCTAGCCTGCAATACTGAGTAAGACCTTGTCTCAAAATTAATGAAAAAAGGGCTAGAATTCATATAATGCTCCAGTGCTACACCACTTGCCTAGAGTATTTATTCAAGGCTCTGGGTTCAATTCCTAAAACTGTGAAAAAATTATTTTAAAGACGTGGGGGGGGGGGGGGGGGGGGGGAAAGAGAGTTGGTAAGAAGGTAAAGGTGTTTGCTATGAAATTCTGGTAACCTGAATTTAATCCCTAGAAGAGCGCAACTCCAAGAAGTTGTCTTCCAATTTCTACACTTACACTATAGCACATGCCCCCAAACACATTAAAAACAAGGCTGCATAGTGGCATGTACTTTGCGCTAAAGAAACTTTAAAACAAGTGGGAGTAAAAGAGAAGTTAAAAAAATGTTTATACCCTTTGGACTAGAACTCACAACTTAAATTAAAAAAAAAAAAAAAGAAAAGAAAAAGAAATACTTCGACCCATGTAAGAACTGTTAGTGGGGACTCTAGCTGCAAGGGAGATTAGATGAAAACTTGGTTAGAGCAGATGACCAGCCACAGGAACAGTCCACTGGGCAGGCCAGCATACAGCAAGGCATTTTTAATTTTAGGAAAGCAGATTTGGGACACATAGATAGAAGACATATCTTAGTTAGGGCTTTACTACTGTGAACAGACACCGTGACCAAGGCAAGTTTTATAAGGCCAACAGTTAATTGGGGCTGGCTTACAGGTTCAAATGTTAAGTCTATTATCATCAAGGTGGGAGCATGGCAACATCTAGGCAGGCACGGTGGAGGAGGAGCTGAGAGTTCTAAATCTTCATCTGAAGGCTGCTAGTGGAAGACTGAATTCCAGTCAGCTAGGATGAGGGTCTTAAAGTCCACACCTACAGTGCCACACCTTCTAATAGCGCCACTCCCTGGGCATATACAAACCATCACAATATCTATATCCAGTTTTTCTTCTAAAAAAAAAAAAAAGTTCTACGTCATGAGACAGAGGAATGTGTTACTAAAAGTTGGGTATAATAAAGTATCTTGTATATCAATTAGGAATTAAACTACTGATCTAACAAACAAATGTTGTAAAGAACGAAGACATAGAGTTTACCAGAAAACAAAATACAACAAATTTAAATATCTGAAAAGAAACTATAAGCTATTCTCTTCTGTAAGATGCTAAACTCTTTCCAGGGACATTTTCAGATCAGTATGGTATCTGATCATTTTATTACATTGCAGTTAAAGTGAGACTGCCAGTGTCAGAGGTTAGAATTGAACAGGAGCTTTGACAACCAGACTCGAAATCCCCCTGTTCTGTTCAGAACCAAAATGTGCAATTTTGTATGTATGTATGTGGGCCAGGACTGAAGAGAGGTATCTAACCATGTGGTAGACATAAAATAGTTTAAATAAGTTAAGAGCTAGTCCGGGAATGAGCCAAAGCTTATGGCTAACACATTTAATAAGTAATTAGTCCCAGAGTCATTGCTCTTGGGAACTAAGTGGCCAGGAGGAAAAAGAGTTTATAATTTTTTAACCTATGAGAACCTGAGTTCAAATTCTCTCCAAGTACCCACATAAAAAGCTAAGCATGTCCAGGAACAATAGCTGCAAGCCTTTAAGCTTTAATTTCAGCACTCCAAATGCAGAGGCAGACAGTTCTCTAAATTTGAGGCCAGCCTGGTGTACTTGGTGCCACCAGCATTCAACATACTTTTTCTTTTTTTTTTTCCTGATGGCTTTTTGTGTTGCTCTGGCTTGCTTTGGCAAGGGTAGAGACTTATGAAAGCCATGAGGAGTCAGCCAGTAAGCACTCCTCAAAGGCCTCTGCATCATCTCCTGCCTCTAGGTTTCTGCCCTGTTTGAGTTCCTGTCCTGCCTTCTTTTGATGATGAACAGTAATATGAAAGTGTAAGCCAAATAAACCCTTTCCTCCCCAAGTTGCTTTTGGTCATGGTGTTTAATCACAGCAATATTAACTCTAAATCAGTCAGCAAAAGAATGCTAGTCATCCATGTCTTCATTGAATACAGGACAACTCAAGGTGTTGGGTCTGTCAAAAGTGGCAGCATATGGAGCACACTCACAATGAGCCTGTTTCTTTTGCCAGTGTGGGAACTCTCCAGTGCTACCTTTTATCTTATGTGAGACCTCATACTCAAAAAGCACCTGTAGAAGAGGGAGAAATGACTCAGTAATATGAAGCATTGGCTACTCTTTTAGAGGAGCTGGGTTCTACTCCCAACACCTACACAGCAGCTTATCTATCTGTAACTCTTCTGGGGCACAAATATCCAAGCAGTCAAATACCTATATAAATAAAATAAAATTTTTAAAAATCGTATTTACTTACTCATTCAAAACAGAGTCTCACTTGGCCTTAAACTTGCCTTTGCTTCCTGAACGCTGGTACATGTATCTAATACCAAACCTAACTAGAACAGAACCCTGAGTGAAAGCTTACCTGGATCCACTGTTCACGATTGATCTCTACACCGTTGGCCCGAAGAGAGGTGATGGCTCGGTCAATGATCTTCTCCACCATCTGAGTGTTCCCATTGGCCTCCTCAAGCTTGGCAGCTGTGATCCAAATGTGCCGATCTGTAGGAATGTTCTCACGTGCTTTATTTAAGACCTTTCGAGCATTTTCATAAGTTTCTAGTCTTGCCAAAGCAAGCCAGAGCTACACAAAAAAAGCCGAGAGAGAGAGAGAGAGAGAGAGAGAGAGAGAGAGAGAGAGAGAGAG